AGCTTATTGACACAGTTTGGTGGGAAAACTTCACGTATTTTCTCCTACTACTCTCCAATATTGTTTTTCCTTTGTTTTTTCTTTCATACGTATTTAAAGCATATTTGCTTTTATTTCCTATAGAAAAGATTTGGTAGTTAATACTTGCTAAATTAATTCAGAAAATAAATAACACAGTGGATAAAATCATAACTACTCCTATGAAGCCCAAATTTATTCATACCTTAGGATTGTTTAGATTTAAAGTTGCATTTTATTTTATCTTTTTAATCTGTCTGGACTGTTCCAAGCTGCTAATATTACGGATCAGAAAAAAAAAATCAAAACATTTTGGCAAAATTAAAAGATAAATTGTCAAAATGTCAATTTAAACATCAACAATTATGAGATTTTTAGATTTATTATTGAGAAGGGTATGGATACTTTTGACAAACCAGCTTTCAATAAAATGTAAATAAAGGTAGAGTATTCATCTTTTCTACATTTATACTTCTTTAGCATCGTTTTAACATTCTCAGAGATGCCTCTCTTATTTCCAATAAAAAACTAACTTTTTGGTTGAACAAAAATTGTTTTTAATCTATTCCTGCTAACGATATGAATAATCTTTACTATAATCTCCATATAATGCAAACAGTATTTAATTGTAGTATTAATTCACATCTACATCATATTCAATGCCTTCAGATTTAAGGTATCTTTTGAAAATAACTTTTAAGCCCACGTTGCAGAATAAAAATAGTTTTTCTTATTCTTCTGATGTAATATTCTAATTTTAAATGTGACGTTTTCTTTATCTAAAAGAGGAAAAATCATCATAATTAACAAAAATAAAGGCTTTCAAACCTCCAAATCTACATGATTCCAGTTTATAAAACTGGTGTTTAAATGAGTAAAATCCACCAACCTTGCTGAATATCTTTCATTTCCAAATGGAGGCTGGATATGAGGATGCCCACAGCCTGAGAGCGTTTGCTGTCCAGCAGCTTAATGATCTGAAAACAAACGGTTACCATGACAACCTGGCCATCAGAAACCATCAATGAGGCGTTAGTAACGAATACAGATCATGTTACAGCGTTTCCTTCTACTTGTCAGTATCATATTTTGCTATTTTGAATCATGAATTTAGTTTTAATTATGTGTTGGTGAAAATCAATGTTAAATGAAAAATTATTCCAGTTAACAAATTATAATTATTAAAACCTAAAACCACGAGGATTTTAACTAACTTTTGTTGGTAAGAACTGAAACGTTCAGAAATTGGTTCCCAAAAGTATTGGTATTGTCTCCCTCTAGTGGAGAAACAGTATATTTTCAGTAAGTTTCTGGAAGCTGAGTGTTTTATGTTTGAAGGAAGCTTCATACCTTTTTGGCTTTGGCTTTCCTCTCATAGGCCTGAGACAGCGGCTTCCTTTTCTCCATCGTTGTTGTTTTAGCAAAGAGATCCTCAAACTCATTGGCATTTATGTGTGGTTCCTCTAACATGTTCCACAGCGAGTAGTTACTAAAGGACGGAAAAGTAAATCAGTCATATTAACTTAAGAAGTTAGTTTCCAATATGCCCCATGTATTAGCCTTTTGGAATATTATTTGACTCAACCTGAAAACATTCTTGAATGTCGTTATTTATTAGAGAAAAACTGCAACATGCCAAAGCTACATTATTATTAATCCTGTTTTAATATATTGTTTTTAACACTTTAACTTTTTTGTGTAAACTCTTAGAAATGATGCTTATTCTATTCTATTTTGTGGTGCACATTTATTTTGGTTGTTTTATATTTTTTAAATATGTTTACATATAATTTATTGTGTTTTTTTCCCCCAAACATGAATTAATTATATTTTGTTTGCATTTTGGCCTGTTAATCTGTCTGCAAGCTTTTCTGAGGTTGAGATGGGAGCAATAGTGGCGAAGCGGAACCTATATTTGGCGGGCGTTGCTTCCGGGTTCGCTTTAGGACGAACTTCCTATTTGCTTCAGACGCCAAGGGCAGCGCTTCGGCCGTCATTACTGAATCCTGTTTTAATATTCTTCAGGTCAGTAAACTGTGAAAATAGCCAAAACTACTCTGTAAGATATTTACCTCTTATTTGATCAGCAGGTAGCATTGTGTTTCGGTTTCTGTGCATCTTTCTGCTAATAGCTGAAAGTTTTATCAGGTGAGGTTTAGATTAGCACCATGCTAACCTACACCTGGGAAGTCTTGCGGGTCTAGCTGATTGAAAGACCGTGATGTCTTACTAATTTCGGGTTTTATGAGTTTTATTTTGCGTTTGTTTGAATAACTTTAAGTGAATGTTGCTTGGTGACTCATAAGGTAGCTCAGAGCCTGAGTGTGGTTGACGTTGAAGGAAGAGAAACTATTCTTTATTTATGAAGTGTGAGAATTCTGACGTTAAAGTTGGAACAATTTTATTTTTGGGTCTTATTTTATTTTTTATCATTATTAACTTAAAATCAGTTTATTTGATAAACTGATAAAAATAAATATTGAATATTCAAAATAAACTTCCAATCAATTTAGTTTTAAGTGCTCAAACCTACTTGTCTTCTTGGATCTGGATTCTGGTCCAGTAAAGCGGCTTCATGGCTCGGGAAGGTTCCACTGCTGGTTTCCTTGGAGGTTTTTCTGCAATGACGCCCCCTGCTGGTGGAGGAGGTGGCGGGTGAGCGACACCTGGTGGTGGAGGAGGTGGCGGGTGAGCGACACCTGGTGGTGGTGGAGGTGGCGGGTGAGCGACACCTGGTGATGGTGGAGGCGGAGGAGGCGGCGGTGGAGGAGGAGACAAACTGTCTTGTTTCTGAGAACTAGAGGGATGACTCTGAGGTAACGTTGAAACCACAGAAGAAGACGAAACTTCTCCTGTGGAAACCATGTCTGGATTTTTGGAGGCTCCCATTGACTGCCGAAGATTCAAGCAGGTTGTCATGGTAACGTCACCATCTTGAGGACTCGTGATGAGGTTTTCTCGGTCAGTCTGGATGCTGACATTGCGGAAGCATTTGTCTAACAAGCTGTCGGTTGTGGAAACGGCAACATCTTTGAGCCCCTCTGGATGCTGGCTCCAAACATGTGAGACTTTAGCTTGTAGCTCCTCAAGCATCAACTCCAGGCGAGCAACATTGTCTCTGTTTTCGTCCCTCAGTTTGCAGAGCTGATGCTCATAATCCTCCTGATATAATGTTCGTAAAAGAAGAAAATAGCATGGTCACTCACTTTGGCAATCAAACTTTTTTTTTCTTGGACCAAGAGCAGAAAACTGAAGACGGTTGTGGAATGAAAAACTTTGTTGAGCTGAGTCCCAAACTACTATGTAATTAATTATTATTTTAAAAATCTTTTTAAAGAAATTTTCTTTGAATTTTTTGGAGAAAAAGTCTTAATGAGAATAAGAGCGATGATAGCAGAAATTAGAAAAGCTGTCGGAAGGGAGAATTGTGTTGCAAAAAGCTGCAATAAGTATTTCTAAAAAATAAAACAAAAAAATACTTTATCATGGATGTTATGTTCTCAACTTATTTTCAAATAGTTTTTATTTGTTATCTGTGCTAGCCACATACTAAAGTAAAAAAAAAAGCTTAAATGTAGTCATTAATGCTGTTTTAACATTCATAGACATATTGATTTTATGCTGTTTTTAATATTCCTTTGGGCATTAAACCAATCTGTCCTATTAGAAAGGGTTTTATTGATTTGAACATATTTTTACAACATATTGTATTGTAGATCAAATACATGTAGTAAATCTTCCAAAAAAATCTGAAAATTTTGATTGATCTACAATACAATATGTATTGTATCTCAGGAATCTCAGAAATATTCTAGAAAAAATGTGGACATTTTTCTGAGTTTCAAAAGTAGAAATTTTTCAACTTTTCAAAGTCAGAAATTTTCTTGTTTTTTTGTTTTGTAGAAAATTTCTGAGAATTTTTTTTGTCAGAAATGTACTTTTTCTTTTTCTCTATCTGCAAAAGCCTAAAAACTGTCATAGACTTTGGACCTTTTATAAATTGGAAATGTTTATTTTCTAATGAGTCTTGAGATTCTATTTGTTGCAATTATGTGCAATCTGAAACTAAGAATTGAGAATTTTTAGAAAATCTTAAAAATGTAGAAATCTAATACTGACCTGTAGCTTCTCCTGCTCCTGTTTGCATTCTCTTTTCAGCTGCAGGAGAGCGGCCTGATGCTCTAACAGGAAATAGAACAGCATGCAATAACAAAATACAGCTTTAGCTTCCCAGAAATAAAACTAAACAAGACCTCTCAAAATGTCAACATTTCTCTGGAGCCAACGAAATAATTGGGAAAAACCATAACAATCAAACATCTATATGTGACCAGATGATTGCTGCAGAAGCCTAAAGATCCAAGAAGACAACTTTCTCGCGAAAAGGCAAAAAGATGGCCGCTCACTTGTATCTTGAGCAAACAGTTTAAGCAAACATTCATCTGATAACAGATGACTAGAATTACTGAAAGGTAAATTAAAAAGTGTGTTTACTGTCGTCTTTCTGTTTGCAGAGATGTGGGTGTGTACAGTGAAGCTCAGTTTCACCACTGCTCAGACATTTTATAAATTCCCTCAAGTCATGAAAAATATTAAACTAATGATGCAGTAATATACTTCTTTCAACACCTTAGATTATCTTTGATTCATTATAACAATAATGTACTGGAGAAAATCTTGCTTAATGAAGGAAAATTTAAACGTTTAGTTTTTTATGCCTATAAAATACAACAAATTAAATTTTAACAGTGACAAGTGAAAATCCAAGACTTTTTTGCAAGGCCTCCTACTCTAATAAGATTTAATAGCAAACATATTTTTACCTGATAATTCGGCAGACTCGGTTCGATTGGGAACCAAAATTGCAACATTTGTTAGATTTTCATTTGCTTTGGTTCGTTTCACACTGAAAAACCTGCCCCACCTACCCGTCGCCTGTGGGGGCGCTGCAGCAAGAACTACTGAAGGAATCGACACAAAACCTCTGAAGAAGGCCATGAAATGCAAACAAAAATGGAGCGGCGTCTGATTTTAGTGGATGTAGAATTTCTCCACTGGTATACATTACTAGTTTGGATATCGCATTTTAGCCGCTAACGCTAGCGATGCTCCGGTAGGCGCCATTACTGTGAGTCATTGAGTCACATCCACAAAACCGTACTGTTCCAGTGCTCTTATTTCTTACCTGATTTGCAATAAAAATCAAAGTGTTTGTACTATTCTGGAAATATTTGCGATATTTGAGCTTATTTATGACGGTAAATGTGACTTTTTACTTTGTATAGATCATGGAATATGATCTGACATCAATTAAAGCTGAGGCAGCTGTTTAGCACAAGTAAGAAAGTTCTTGACAACTTTTGAGAAAAATCTGCAATAAACTTCCTATTATGTATTAACGCAAAGAAAGGCAGGGAATTTCCACGATAATTCTCAAGAAACTGGACGGATTGATATAATTTGGCAGTAAACAAATAAAAACTGCATTGATTTAATTGATAACATGATATTCAAACACATTAAGTGTTTAGTCTAGAATCTAGAGGGCCACATAAAAAGCTACGGCGGGCTGGATTTGGCCCACGGGCCTTGAGTTTGACACCTGTTCTGATTAAAACGGATTAAACAGGGCTGGACTGAATGGACCCTAAAATAGGCAAAAACATCACCGTTAAAAATTGATCAGTACCTGCTTCTGTATACTTCAGGCCAACCTTTTCTTCCTTGAAAGGTGGCCACACGGCTTGCAGGCGACCAGGAGTTTTTTCCTCTCCTTCTCCTGCTGTGGGCGTCTCCGACTGTAAGTTAACCACAGAGTTATTTTGACTCTTAAAATACCGTCTCTGCTTCCTGTAGCCATAATCAGAAGCTATGCAAAGTTTTTAAGCATGCATTTATCATTCTAAAAGGATTTTGCATGAGTTTCTGCCAAGAGTTTCTGCATGAAACATAAACGATGCTTTCTTACTTTTTCATCACATGCATCGTTCTTCTCTAGTGTTTTTTTGGAGGTTCTCTCAAAAATTGTTCTCAGCACATCTTTATCGTTTCTCATCTTTTTCCTCACTGCGTCCAGGTCGATCCTCTCTGTCGAGTCTTTCTTCAGAGGTTTTGGTGTGAAAAAGGCCTTGAAGGCATCAAAAGCAGCTTCCGCGCTCGACAGAGGTCTGGTTGGCTCGACTGGTTTTGTATCTTCTTCTACTTCAGGTTCTGGACGTTCTTCATTTCCATCCAACTGGGTTCTGATTTCATCTTGATGTGGTTCAGTCACCAAATCTTCATCTTCTTTATCCCCAGGAGTTATCTGGTCCAGAAATCCGTTCTGGGTCTTTGTGTCGCTCTGTTTTTCTGTGGAAACTGGACTTTTTGCAAACGGAGGACTCTGTTTGATTTGAGCGGATGTGCCGTTCTCAGCCCCACCGATTCCCTTCCTCAAGACCCGCAGGCCGCTGAACAGAGCCGGGAGCGTGACCTTTTTGTCTGTTGGGCATCCTGGAGAGAAAGTAGCTCTAGTCAGAGTTGATCCAATCGGAGGATTAACAGTTTGTTTATTAATATAAAGTGGAACGTCATTTGGGCTGGAAAGGAGACGTGCAGATGCATCTTCTTCATATTCCGAATATTTCCTCTTCTCTTTACCTTCAGTATCCTCCAACTCTTGTTCCTGTCCTTCAACAGCGCAAGTCAAACGCTTCACAATTATCACAGGATGTTTGGTTTCCACCGCAGAATGCACGAGTGGGAAACAGTCTTCCTGAAAATGTACACCATTATTTTCAGTCTCTTTTACGTCATCCTGCTTATCGTTTTGGGGACATTTTGGGGAAGTAGCTTCATTTATTCCGAATTTGTCCAGTAACAGATCAACTTCCTTGCAGCTATTAACTTTGTCTTCAACTGCTGAGTTAATCTGATGGTTATTCGGCGTCCAACTCTCTGTATCTGAAGCAATTTCAGAGATTTCAACCCAAGCTTTCAGTTCCTCTAGGCTGCACTGTTTGCTTGTTTGGTTTTCTGTAAAAGACGCATCGCTTTGCAGAGATTTTGTGAAATAGCATCCAGAGCCATTAAACGGGTTAGAAGCGTCTTCAGACTTTATTTTGCCGTTAACGTTTGTCAGCATGTCTTCATTTTCTGCCTCCATTGGGCTACTTAAAGTTCTTGGCTTTTCCATTTGATTCAATCTGAGATTTCAGAGAGGATTTTTAGTCATTTGTTAAATTATTTCATTGTTTCCAGCAACTTTAAAGGATCGTTAGCAAGGAAACTTCACTTTCCTGTTTCAGTCTTTTCCTCCAGTTTGGCGAAAGTGAACCAATGAATCCTTTCCACAAGTTGCTCCTACAAGTGGGAGCAGCTCTCAGTGATTCAGATGAGCCGCAGAAATCCACAGAAGGAATGGAAAATTTCCCAACTCCTTTTCCATGGCGCTGCTGGTTGGAGTGACTCAGCTCTGCCACATGCCGTTAAAATCCCATCCGAGTCCCGGTTTCAGCCTCTGATCCCTGGCCGGTTTCCTCCTCATTGCTGGTTGTTTACCTCCTGGTCGCCGTCCTGCAGACCGGAGCGCAGACAGATGGCGTCTCCAGCTGAGCCCGTCTCTTACGACACCCTGACATCCTAAAGGGAGTCACGCAGAGCAGATGGAGCAGCGCCACACCCACAGCAGAGGGAGGGCAAACAAGACGGCCAGGGATCCCTTGTTAAACATTTGGTAGGTAAATGCAATGCCAACTGGAGCTGGCTGGCTGTGCAGTGGTCCAATGAAAAGTTTTAAAATTAATTAATTACATCTTGCATTCTGAACCAAACTGAATATCTAACTTTCACTTCACTTGAATATTAAAGAAATGCTAACATTTAATGAGGTTTTGCACAAAAAAGTCAAGAAAAGTAGAAAAATAATTCAAATAAAGCTGCAAATAATCATAATTATTGTGATTTAAAATGCCAAACAAAACAAAAAACATCTTAAACAGTAACCAGATACATAGTGTAAAATATACAATATATAAATAAATTTCTTAAATGATCTTGTATTACACTCAAGTTATTCTGATTAAAAATATATATAAAATGGTTACAAATGAAACAAAATTAAAACAAATGCATTTTTAAATAAATCTAAAAAATGAATTGCCTTAATATGAAAACAATTCCCAAATAATTACAAAAATAATTGGAGATTTATTTTTAAATTCTCAGAAATCAATTAAGTGATAGGAGGGAAAAATGTTTTTAAAGTGCCAAAATGTTACACAAGGAGCCAAAAGATTCCCACTTTCTACTCCACTGAAATAATCATTAATAAACAGTTTTATTAATATAAAAACATCAAAATGCAAATGTAAACGTCTTGTTTTCTTATCTAGCTTTTGTTTGAGTTGCTCTTCCATTTCAGGCTCCACCTTTGTTTGCCAGCAGGTTAGAGGCAGAGGAGTGATAACAGGACTTTATTACAATGTTTACGTTTCTCTACATGGGAGCAGCTTTAATGAGCTGCACTTTAGATCTCTAATCTAATGGAGCTAAACTTTGATGTTTATGTAAATTCATGAAAGAATGCATGAATATGATCCTCCATTTTATCCAGCATAAGAAAAGTAGTGATGTGCTGCAGCAAAAAAACTTTATATGAAACTTTAGTGCTGTAGTTAATATAAGATGACAACTTTTTTCTTTATTTTGCAACAATCAGTTTAATTTACCACAATTGCATGAAAATGAACAGATTAAAAAGAAGATATAAAGGTAATACAACACATTTTTATTGAAAATTTTAAAATTGGCATTATCATCAACAAAGTAACTTCAAGTAATGACTTTTTCTAGTTATTTCTTTAAATTTAATTTTGAAATATAAATATTGTCTTCTAAAAGTTGGTGGTAATAAGAAAAATAAAAAAAAGTTGGATAAATAAAGAAAGCCAGGGTTTCCCCCAGTGTATTATAAGCCTGGCGGGCCACCAGGCTTTACTTGTGCCCCCACCAGGCTTAGCATCGCTTATTTATCTAAGATTTTTTAAAAAATGTTTGCATTTTTAAGACTTTATAGTTGGTGTCAAGGTATTAATCTTCCAGTTCTTTCAGTAACACAAGTGATATTTTCAAATTTCCTGTCAACTTAAAAAAAAAATTAACTCAAAAAAACAACAGGTCTCTGGATGAATGACTGCCTTAGAGCCCAGCCACTGGGATTTCCAGGTTTTCTGGGGGAAACCTTGAAAGCTGTTTAAGTAATGTTCATAATTTAAATCCAACATCTTGTTTCGAAATCTGTTATTGTGGAACTTAAAAAGGGATTGCTTCACAAGCAGAAGTCGGATTCATTCGGTCTGTAAATGAGATCCATCCTCATTGTGCAACAGGCCTGCGGCTCACTGAGGAATCTGCTCAGTTTTTCCTCTGGGGGTCAAATGAGGTCATGAGCAAACACAAACGGCATCCTATGATATGAACTGTAGACATTTATTATTTAGTTTTCTGTTTCATTCTGACAGTACATCATAAATCAGTGCAGTACAAATCCTACTAAATGTATTCGGCTCATGTTTCTACATTTTTAGTGCATCAGGAGCTTCATGTCAGAAAATATAAACATGTTTTTATACAGATACAGCTCTGGAAAAAATTGAGACCATTTAAAATGATCAGTTTCTCTTATTTTACTTTTTATAGTTAAATGATTGATTAAAGTGAACATTGTTCTTTTATTCTATGAACTACTGACAACATGTCTCTGAAATTACAAGCAAAGATTTTGTATTTGCAGAAAATGAGAAATGGTCAAAATAACAAAAAAGATGCAGAGCTTCCAGACTTCAAATACTGCAAAGAAAACAAGTTAATCTTCATTTAGGAACAAAAATACTAATGTTTTAGCTCAGGAAGAGTTCAGGAATCAACATTTGGTGGAAAAACCAGGATGTTTTCAACGGGGTTCACTGCAGTGGGCTCCTAATTGCATATGTTTGTTTTCCAGTTCATCAGACAGTGAAAAATTAGAGAATTTTGTGGTGCAAATATGTAATGTAAAGGAATATTTTTCATCAAATCCTGAGACTAATGCAACAAAGAGGTTCGTTTGTTGGCTCAATAGATGTAGGGTGAATTTAGACGGCATTTTGGTTCAAGGTATTTAAGAATTTTTGTACAAAATGTCCACATTTTGAACTTGCAACTTATTTAAATATTTTCTCCTTCCTAATAAAGCATTGTGAGAACCAGAACATTTATTTTTTTGAAGTGATAAGTTTTATTTGACTCACCGTCAGATGGGAGAGTTCATCATCAGGAGCAGTGATGCGCAGGAAGTCGACATGTTTTGGTCGTGATGGATGAAAGAGAGACCTGCAGCGGGACAGGGACTCCTCCACTTCCTGCTGCCAGATCTCCTCCTGCCTCTGCAGGGCTTCATCTGCAGACAACAACATGTAATCCATCTTATACACGTCATCATTTCAGAGATTTTTCATTAGCTATTTTATTTTTCAGGGAAAAAAGGCACAAATATTGCACAATATTATTTTGAAACTCCAAACTCTGATAGAGGTACTCTTGTTGAATAGTACTTTGCTTTCTGTGTTTTTACCAAACCCCAAAATTTTAGGTTAGTCAATGTTGATTTTAGGATTGTAAATTGCAACCAGCTGTGTTTCCATTTGCCATATAATTGTACAATTTGATACTTTCAAAATAAATTTGCTTAATGAAAGAAGAAACCAATTTGTTTTAAAAATATAGTTTTGGTGCTAGGATGAGGTGTGCTTTATGGCCATGTGGAAATGGGTTTATTTCGCAAAACTGCAATAAAATTACTTTTTAAATTAAATTATCAAAAACTGGATGTCGCCTCTGGCGCAAGCCACGAAGAAGAAGGCAGGAAATGGCAGGCGTATATTGCCGCTGCATGTTTTTTAATGATTTATTGCGTTAAGAATGTTATTCGCGTGTTTTTTAATTGTGTTTCTTATTTAATATAAAGACCGCAATTGTGAAATTGTGTTTTTTCAACATTGGCACAATATTTGCGCACATTTGTAATGGAAACGCAGCTACGATAAGTAAAAAGACGTTTCTTTCTTTAAACTGTACTGTTACTGTGGGCAAAAATCGTAACTATAGTGAAATAAGATTAGGAGTAGGTTACATTTATTCCACTACATAAGAGCTCACTGATGAATTTTCATTACGGATGTCCTTCACCTCATGTGAGCATGCAATTAACTTTACCCGGAACCATCAAAGTGATGCTCGAACCCATTTATCCCCAAAATAAAACCTAAGCCAAAACGTTCAATCACTCCTGAGGCATAAAACAACTTTCTTTTTGCCTGATCCAGGTCAAATCCAAACCTACACGAGTTTTCATATCACGATTTAAGA